TCTGGTCATTTGCCACTGCCGTGGTGGTCAGAGGATGACAGAAAACATCTCTGTGGTAGGTGGACCTCTGTGAGTTCGAGGTCAGCCTGGTCTACTTAGTGAGTTTCAGGATAGCTGGGTTTACAGGAAGACCCTATCTCAAAAAAGACCAAAAAAACAAAAACAAAAAACATCCTCCGGAGATGTAAGAAAGAGAAAACTGTGGTTTAGAGCAAGACAGTAACCATAGGCTCCCAACACACTCGCCTATAGAGGGTTTTAGGCTGCTCTCTATTTTCATCATAGGAAAAAAGAAAGAGCATCTAAAAACCTACTAAATAAGCTAGAGAGATGGCTTGGTAGTTGACAGCACATACATAATGCTCATCCAGAGGACCCAGGCTCAGTTCCCGGTAATCACATCAGGTGGCTCACAGTGCCTGTAATTCCAGTTCCTGAGGTATCCTAATGCCTCTGGCTTCCAAAGCTATCTACACTCATGTACTCAAACCTATGAAAACACACACACATACACACAATTTAAAAAATAAATAAAATCATTTAATTCCTCCCTAAATTACAAGGTTCTTTATATACAAACTTGACTTTGTCTTTTTTTTTTCTTTTTTTTTGAGACAGGGTCTCTCTATAGCCCCAACCATCCTAGAACTCACTTGGGGTAGACCAGGCTGATCTTGAACTCACAGAGATCAGCCTGCCTCTGTCTCCCAACTGCTAGGATTAAAGGCATGCACCACCATGCCTGGCTCTTTACATACAAACTTTGAAAGTTGGGTGTGGTAGCACAGGCCAGAAATCTCAGCACTCAGGAGGCTGAGGTAGGAGGATAGTGAGTTTGAGGCCTGCCTGGACGCCACAGTAAGACCTTGTCTTAAAAACAACAATAATAATATAAATAACATTAATTATAATGCACAATCCCAGACAAAACCAGTGTTTTGAAATTATTTTTGCACAGAAACTGGTATTTTCCAAATGTAATATTAGAATCTCCCCAGAAAACCATTACTGCTTAAGACTTAAGGAAAAAAACCAAATAGACAAGATAGGTGCATAAAGCTTCAAAACAAAAAGAAAATAAATCCCTGTGGTCAGAACACTGCCACAAAGGGAGAAACTGAAAAGATTAAAGAAAAAAGAATACAATTACTTTTTAGAATGCATTTATTTTGATTTCCCTAAAAGGTGTGTATTACTGAGAACCACAAACTAAAAATGCACCCTGTCTAGTTCAGGATATGCAAACAGTATTTTTTTTCTAACTAAAATTCTTTAATTTTATATAGCTCTGCCAAATATCAAGATGATAGTATTATTTAATTAATAGAAACAATAAATTGGGGGGGGCATCTTTTTGAGACAGGGTCTCCCTGTAGCCCCAGCTCTCCTGGAACTCACTATGTAGAACAGGCTGGCCTTGAACTCACAGAGATCTGCCTGCCTCTGCCTCCCGAGTGCTGGGATTAAAGGCATGTGTCACCACACCCCGCCAACAATAAATTTTTAAAATTTTTATTTATTATTTTTATTTTATGTGTATGAGTGTATTGCATGCATAGGTGTAAATGCACTCATGTCATGCAATGCCCTCTGAAGTCAGAAGAAGGTGTCAGATCCCCTGGAACTGGAGTTATGGAAAGTTGTTAGCTGCAATGTGGGTGCTGGGTATCGAACCTGGGTTCTCTGCAAGAGTAGTCAGTGCTCTTAACTGCTGAGCAATCTCTCCAGCCCTGAAACAATAATCCTATCTTATTGAAACCAACTATTTCTAAATATTTTGAAACTATCACAAAGGTTTGTTTAGGTATAAAACGACCCAAAATGCACAGTTAAAATGAATTTCAGACAAGCATAACATCATATTTATGACTCAAAAAATATGTGCCTTTCTCTTCTGGGTCTCAGTTTTAGTTCATGAAGACAATTAGGCAGGATAAAAAAAAAAAGGCACTATAAAAGTAAACACTAACTAGTGTGATTATTTTTCTTCTACTTTTGAAAAAAAATGTTGGGGGCTGGAGAGATGGCTCAGCAGTTAAGAGCACTGATTGCTCTTGCAGAGGACCTGGGTTCGATTCCCAGCACCCACATGGCAGCTATAAACCACCTTTAACTCCAGTTCCAGGGGACTCCGATGCCCTCTTCTGACCTCCGCTAGCATTTCATGACATGGGTGCACTCATATACATGCAGGCAATACACTCATACACATAAAATAAAAATAATAAAATACTAAAAAAAAATGTTGACCCTGTTACAAGATACAAGCCTTCACCTGGCATATTGTCATAGGATGGCTACACAGTGGAAACTCAAACAGCTGACTGGAAAATATTTGGGAACCCAGTTAAATTCTCAGACCTTTGACCTATTTCCTACAGGAGAGTCATTTAAAAGCTGTCAGAAGGGCAACTAATGATAGCTTTCCAGAGTACAAAGGTTGTCCAGTTTCAACAAAGAATCCTACAAACAGGTGACTTGGGAAGTCATCACTGCCCTGATGAAATAATACTTGGTTCTGTCCTCAAGTAAGAGCTTAAGTAAAGCTTGAGGCCTCTTGAGTTGAATCTTAGCACTAGATACCTGCCAGCCAACAACAACCAAGGGAGAGGCTACTGTCTTTGGGGCTCTGGACAAGATGTCTGCAGGCATTTCCCTGCAATCCCTGAGCTCCTGACTCCCCTGCTTTCTGAATTAGGGCACTGTTCACAGTCTTGCCCGTAGTAAGTTGTCTTACTTTCTATGTAGCACTTTTTTTGTTGGCTATGGCATTTTGGAGACAGGGTCTCACTATAGCCTAGGCTGGCCTAAAATCCATGGTGGTTCTCCTGCTTTGGTTTGTGAGTGCTAGAACTACAGGCAAGTACCTCTCTATCCATCTTGACTCCACAGAAATTTCCAGGCACAAAGTTCTTGCTAGACATTAGGATCATTCTCACTGTTGAAGCTCTGCCCAAGTGTTAAGATTTACACTTTATTTTCAAGTTACACGTATGGGGGTGGGAGGTAGGAATGTGTTTATGAATGCAGTTGTCTGAGGAGGACAGAAGAGGCTGTTGTGTCCCTTGAGATGGAGGTACAGAACGTTGTCATAGGATGGCTACACACTGGCGGTTGTGAACCACCAGATGTGGGTGCTAGGAACTGAACTTGGGTCCTCTGTGAAAACAGTATGTGCTCTTAACCACTGAACCATCTCTCCAGCCCCTAGGATTACACTTTAAATATTAACTTTTTAAAAATAGTTTATGATTTTTATTTCATGTGTATGAGTGTTATGCCTGCATGTAAGTGAGTACAACCATGATGTGCAATGCCCACGGAGGACAGAAGAGGCTGTCAGATCTCCTGGGACTGGAGTTATAAACAGTTGTTAGCTACCATGTGGGTGCTGGGATTCAAACCTGGGTCTTCTGCAAGAACAGTCAGTGCTCTTAACTGCTGAGCCATCTGTCCAGCCCCTAAATATTAACTTTTAAAGTTGGGCATTATGGCATGTGCCTGCAAACCCAGGATTGGTGAGGTAAAGACAAGATGATAAGAAATTCAAAGCCATCCTGACTTCACGAGGCCCCGTTTCAAAGAATAAACAAAACTGGACTTGGTGACACGTGCCTATAATTCTAACATGCAGGAGATGGCAGGAAGATCAAAACTTCAAGACCAGTCTCAATAACACAGTTGAGTTCAAGGCCAGCCATGGGCCCTTTTAAAAAAAAAAAAAAAAAAAAAAAAGTGAAAGAGTTTTAAAGATGTTATTTTAAAGCAATATGCATCAGAGATGAATGGATTTATATATTATATATGAAAATAATTTAGTAGTTTTAAAAAAGTTTTTATTTATTATTTTTATGTGTACGAGTGTATTGCCCACATGCATATGAGTGCACCTGTGTTGTGCACTGTTGAGGAGGTCAGAAGAGGGCTTCTGATTCCCCTGGAACTGGAGTTAGGGATGATTTATAGCCACCATGTGGGTGCTTGGAATCGAACCCAGGTCCTCTCCAAGAGCAGTCAGTGCTCTTAACTGCTGAGCCATCTCTCCAGCCCCAGTTTTGTAGTTTTTAAAAAGAAATTTTATCCTAAGTACCATTTAAAGAAATTTTTTTTTTAAGGATATGTTTTCTAATTGACCACATAGGTCTAGAAAGTAGTGTTACTTAAATAGATACATATTTTGGCTATATTCAGTTATTTTTTTCTTTAGACAAGTTCAAGGTCATCTTTAGAGATACAGAGTCCAAGGCCAGTCTGGATTACATGAGAGCCTATCCCAAAGAAAAAATTGTATTAACTATTAACCTAAGCAAGTAAGTTCTAGGCTAATTACGTGAAGTATCTCCCAATGTGAGCTTTCACTGAATGCAGCTCCCAATGTCAGGCCTTACTATACAATGCCTCCTGAGGTCAGTACTCACCGTATGCAGTTTCCCCACATCAGGTCCTCTCTGTACACCTTCCATGTCAGGCCCTCACAATGACATTGCCTCCTGAGGTCAGTCCTCACTGTACACAGTCTCCCATCATCAGGCTCACTACACCACCTCATTGTCAGGCCCTCACTATATACCACCTGGTCAAGGTAAAGCTTTCTTCTTGGTGTTTGTTCAATCTTTATACCAGTACTCTCAGCAGAAAGGACTGAATCTGTGCTAGACAGGTGTGTTGACACATCCTTTTACAGAGGTATTGGGAACCCAAGCACCTAGGTGGTAGAGTGTAGGAAGTCTGAGTCAAAGCAATTTGGCTGCAGTTTATATCTTTCAGTCATTGTCTTAACCATCCTCTCAGAAGATCCTATCAGAATTTTAGCTAAAAGTTAAGAGAATACAATTTCTTAAAACAAAAGAACTTAGATTCACTGTTGACAAAGATTCTGCTGAGTATTCACCAAAGAATTTCTGGATAAATACCCAAACTCTTACCAGCAAAGTGGAATCTGGTACATAATACTTGACCTTTAGATGAAAAGAGCTAGGCCCCAGAATCACACTTCTTACCTCAACGTCAAACGTCTCCATGGTGTTGTCCAGCAGCTTCACTCTGATGTGCAGGTGCTTCTCCTGCATCCTGGCTGAAGGCATCTGTCCTGGCTCAAGGGTACTCACTCTGACAGGGGTCTGGCCACCCCAGTGTGTCCCAGCAGTCTGCAAGGCTCTGTATGTTCCTTCTATCTCTCCCATCCTTCATTAGATGCCTCTTTTTTTTAAAAAAAAAAAAAAAAAAAAAAAAAAAAAAAAAAAAAAAAAAAAAACACATTAAGGAAGTACCACATTTGTTAGATATTCAAACAATAGAAACAGTCATTGGGCACACAGGAACCTTCAATACCATTTATCTAACTTCTATGAGTCTTAAATAACATAAAAACAAAGAGGCGTTTTTCTTTTTTTATTCTTTTTGAGACAGGGTCTCCCTGTAGCCACAGCTGGACTAGAGAACTCACTATATAGACCAGGCTGGCCTTGAACTCACAGATACACCTGCCTCTGCTGGAATTAAAGGCATGCAGCACCATGCCTTGCAAAAATGAAGAGCTTTAAAAAGTTCTCTTTTTTTTAATACATATAGTTTTATCACAAAATGAACACAACTCCTAACAGTATTTCCCATGTGCTCTGAGCCAGACATAAGATTAATGCTTTGACCCTCCAATAAGTCATTAGTGGGCGACATCATTACCACTTACCTGGGAGAGCAACAAAGCCACAGCTATATCCCTTTTCAGGCACATATCAGAGCCTTGCATGTCTCCCTCTACCAGCCAGTCAACTGTCTTAACAATCTGATCCAAAGGCTGGGAGAGTATCCTTTCTAGTGAAAGTAACAGACGCCACAGGGACAGTATCAACATGTGTCCGGCAATCTGAAGCACCCATGCATCTCTCTCTCTCCCCTCCAGCTGAGTATGCAGGGAAGGCTACTACAGGTAAGGTTAAGGTACATGAAAACAACCAAACTTGTCTTGCCAGCTTTAGATGCCTAGTTTTTTGCAGGATAGAGCAGTTGCCACTGGTTGTTTGGGAAGAAATTAGAGCTATGACACTGGTGTATCTAGACACTGCCCCAGACTATTTTCAAAATGTGCCTCACCTCAAACCCACCACAACCTTGCTGTCACTACCCAGGCCTACTTAACAGATGATACTGAAGGTTCAGCGGGGTCAGGGTCCTTTTCTATCTTCCACATTACACTGAAAGGGCTCTGTCTTTAAGCTGTTAATTAAGTCTAATAGGGTAATTTCTTCATTTTTAAATTTTATTTTAATTTTGTGTATGAGTGTACTGCCTGCATGTATGTGAGTGCATCCATGTCGTGCACTGATGTGGAGGTCAGAAGAGGGCTTCGAATTCCCCAGGAACTGAAGTCAAGGATGGTTCATAGTCGTCATGTGGGTGCTGGGAATCAAACCCAGGTCCTCTGCAAGAGCAGTCAGTGCTCTTAACTGCTGACCCATCTCTCCAGCCCCTTAAAAAAATTTTTTTTTTAAATTTATCTATTATTTTTATTTTATGTGTATGATTGTATTGCCTGCATGTAGGTAAGTGCATCCATGTCATGCAATGCCCGCGGAGGACAAAAGAGGCCACCGGTTCCCCTGGAACTGGAGTTATGGACAGCTGTTAGCTGCCATGTGGGTGCTGGGATTCAAACCTGGGTCTTCTGCAAGAACAACCAGTGTTCTTAACTGCTGAGCCATCTCTCCAACCCCCAAAAAACAATAAAATATTTTTTAAAAAATTTATTTTACTAAATTCCCAGCCATTCTCTTATATGCTAACAATTGCTGAGGGTCCTTGACCCTTTTCTGTTTTCCAGGCATATTTTATTATCAAGACAAACAAAAGATCTTTTATCCTTTGAATTACATTTGAAAAGCTTCTTGATGACTCACTGCCAACCAACTCCTTAAAGCCCTGTTCCACAAAGACCTTTCCAAGGATGTGAATGAGAACTGCTGCAGGCACCCAGTTCATCAGAGGCGGTTAAAATCTCTAGGCTAGTGAGATGGCAGGTAAAAGTACTTGCTGCTAAGTTCGAGTTCCTTCTCCAGGACCCACATGGTAGAAGGAGAGAACTGACTCCTACACTTTGTCCTCTGTCTTCCATCCATGTGTTGTGACACATGTGCACCCACATATACAGACATAAATAAATAAATGCAATAAAAATAATTTTAAAAACAAAGTGCATTGTGAGAAGGAGCAAAATGTGGTACATAATTGTGTCAAGCAAATCCCCCATCTCAATTCCCGTACAAAGTCAGTGTACTGGATAGCTTTAGTGTCAACTTGACACACCTGGGTCGAGGGAGCCTCAATTGGGTAATTGCCTCTATTGGACTGGCCTGTGGCCATGTCTGAGGGGCATCTTCTTGAAGAGTGATGTGGGAGGGCCCAGCCCACTGTGGGTGGTGCCGCCCATGGGCAGGTGGGCCTGTGTTGCATAAGAAAGCAGGCTGAGCAGGGGCCAGGGGAGCAAGCCAGTAAGCAGTGTTCCTCCATGGCTTATGCTCCGGCTCCTGCTTCCAGGTTCCTGCCCTGAGTTCCTACCTTGGGCTCCCTGATGAACTGTGACCCGGGAGATGTAAGCTGAATAAACCCTTTTCTCCCCAAGTTGGTAGTGGTCAGAGTGTTTTGTCACAGCAATGAAGAAACAAACCAGGACAGTTAGTTCAAACAAATAGACTGCTCATATGCAAGCCTCAGATTAACCATGACCTATCATTTTTAGAAGTTTTTCAGTCCATATGCTCTGTGACCCAGCTTCTCACTGTCTGCCTACCAAGTACTTAATGTTAGTGGCATCAAAGAAACTGACTGTGCAGTGTACCGTATAGACTACAGTAACACGAGACTAAAGACAGATCACAATAGACCAATACATTATGGAGTTAGTTTCTATACCATCAATGTTAACATGATTATTGATAGGCAAAAAGTTGGTGGAGAACGAGCGAATGGATGATGAGGCACCGAGGCACAGCTAAAACTCCATCAAAATAGGGTTTATTAGCAAAGGAACACATGGGACAGATTCCCTTCTGGGCAGGGAAAATGTCTGCCCAGGTCTTGAGCTGGGGTCTTTTAAAAGGGAGGCTTCTACCTCCTGCAGAAGGTGGAAAGATGTATTTTTTTTTTTAAGTTGGAGGGGGTGGAGTGGGGGAGCAGGACTGTTAAAACCTGTCCTCTTTAGAGATCAAAGGGGAAGCCTGCCATGTTGGCCAAACAGTGGAGAAAAGTCTGCTTCTCTTGACTTCAAAGACCAAGGTGCTTATCAGCTAGGTTCCCTTTTCTCTGGAGCATGAGAAGTCCTTGGGATCCTGTTGGTGAGGG